AATATATATATATATATATATATATATTGCAACTCTCGCATAGGTTGTATTATAATGTAAAAAGTAACGAAAAAAGGAAATTAGAGTCCACTATAAACGAACTACTAATATTTCAGCTGTCCACTATGGGGTTATAAAATAAAGTTATTAGTTAAATGGAAGTTCAGATGGAACCACTAAATAAGTTCACAGCAACTGAGTGTTCCACTATATCTCAGGTTCATTATATATTATGTTCAGGCTCGACTGTAGTTTTTAAACTAATGTTACGATACATCGCTTCATCTAATCGATGGTTGTTGTTTTTTTTTTTCTCCTTATTTTTATTTAGTAATTCATTATGTTTATTTTTATCTAAATTTCACAAATTGAAAAAATTCTTAGTATGAAAGTAAAGAATAGTACACAGATAACACTGGGGAGAAAATATTTTTTTGTTTTGTTTTCTGTTCCATGAGATTTTTAACTGATCTTAGATATTTTCGTAACACTGATTTCAAATATTCCAATAATTTCTCTCTCCAAGCTACAGTTTCTCTTAATGACATTTTTACTCTATTTTTGTCGCAATGTACAAGTTTTAAAACGTTATATATAACAGGGTCCACTACGAGAAAAGTCGTCATGCGCCTCTAGGGACGTATTCCCTATTATGAACTGTCTCTTTGTGTGTTTTGTACAGGTCATAATAGAGAAGCGTTTCTACCCGCATACGGCGACATTTCCGGGCATAGGTTCCAATGCAATTTTAATCCTGATGATGTGCCTTAACTCCGCTTGAAGCTTGTCGCAACATTTGCCCGATCCCCTATTATATAGAACGTTTTTAAACTTGTACATTTCGACAAAAATTAAATAGACTTAAAATGTCATTACAAAAATATGTTTCGCTTTAGGAGCAAAACTAATTTCAGATTTGAAATGCCCTCCCGGAATTTAAGCAAGATTAAGTATTTGCAACACAAAATTTGTTCCCCAAATAATTTTTCATTAATAATTTTTTTTTTTTTTTTGAAGCGTTTGTAATCTTAGATTTTCTAGGATTTCTCGAAAATTAGTCGATTATGATCAATGTGCGGAATGCTTAACTACTCATCCCTTTGAATAGTTATATTTGTTATTATAAGAAATATATGCATTAAAATATTTATTACATATTATAAAATTGTTAAAATAATATTTCGTGTAATTCTCTAAAAAAATTTGTCTCATATTTTCCCTTTAGCTATTCTTTAAAATTATTTTCTAAACTCTTATTTTTATATTGCAAAATAATAATGATAAATAGAATAAAAAAAATATTTTTGAAGCACATGGTGAAAAAATTTACTTGCTATATCGTAAAATATCTTTCTCTCGAATGTTCTTATTTTATTACAATGATAATGATGATGATGACTGACGGACATTACAATACTGTATTATTGTTTTATTTAATCCTGTAAACATTTATTAAATGCTAGCGAGCTAAGGCTCGCTAACGCTCGTTAACACTAAAAATTGCTACGCAATCTTATATAGTTCAAGCTTTGTGAATAAAGATGCACCGCAAGCTGCCAAGTTAGTTCCGTTAAAAGTGTGTTCTAATAATTGACATCATTAATTACGAAAACTGCTTACGAAACAAAAATAATTTGCAGATGACTTCCTATTTAATACCAATTGAAAAAGGGCGGCTTCGGCTTTACTGAGTTAGGAACTTTCCAAACATTTTCAGACAGTTAATAGTATTTACAATAAATATTAAAAATATGGTTGAATCACCTTCCGGCATAACATAACTTATTGAAAAATTTTTATGTTGTTGTCTAACCTTAGTCAGTTGTAACAGGTGAATCGATTGTTGGCTTGAGCATGACTTTATTGTAACAGAAATTAATTTTTATGATTAAAAGGCGGTTTTATAGTTAAACAATAACTAAGAAGATGTTTTTTTTTCTTCTGAGGAAACATATAGAAGCACAAACAGCTATTTTTAGTACATTTGTTGTTTTTTCTTATGGATTTTTAAGAATGTATCAATAATGCTTCTTATTATTCTCTAAGATTTCAGCTTTTATCTATTTAATATTATTATTATTTCCTAAATTCTTGTTTTAATCTTGTAAAATAAAAACAATTAAAAGAATAATATGTGTATATTTGATACAAAAGATTACAAACTTTACTGGCTTATTTGTTATCAATCTTTCGAATGATTTTATACTCGTATATTTCATTGTAGGTTTAGGGTATATTGTTCTTCAAAGATAGGCTTTAGAATTATTAAGTCAGACTTTTTTATTGCTTTTACGAAAATAACAAATGAAAAAAAACTGTAATTTTCTGGATTTTTTAATTTTATTTAATTTAAAAGTTGTCTAGGAAATTACTTCTTTTATGGGGTTTTAAAATCATTTATGCTTTGTGGATAGTAGTCAATGACATTTTAACTATTAGGTGATTGCAAAAAATCTTACCATATCTGATTTACATTAAAAAAAAATGTAACCAAATTAAATGTTGATATCAATTCCGGAGAGACTGCAGAATAACGTGAGTGGACGGTGCAAATTCAAACAAAATGCTCATATTTGGTCAGTAAAAAAGTTTTTCTTTTCACCACAAGTCGGTCACCAGACACCACACGTAGTCAGTACATTAAAAAGTTCTCCCTATTCACCTAACATTAATAATTCAAATATTCATAAATTTTGGAAAAAGTTTCAATTGTGAAAAAATATTAGAAAATAATTCTAATTGCAAAAAAGGAAAGGAAACATTTCTAGAAGAAGTGAAAACTCTACTTTCGACTTTCTTTGATAAACGTTAAACCCCACTATCCACTATCAGTATTTGGAAACATAAAAGTACAGCTCTTCCACAACAGCCAGCTATTGAACTGGAGGATCATGGAAGTTAAGGCTCTACTATTTCGAGACCAACTGCCTGATGCAACATGCTCACAGGGGTCTGTATAGATTTTTCTGAGAGGTACCTATTTTGTGAAAATTTAGACATAATTTGTGAAAAATTAAAAATTATATATTGAAAAATCAACACAAAAATATGGTAAAAATATGAATTTATCGTTTCTTAAGGGATAGAAAAATAAAATTTTAAAAATCTATTACTATCGTTTTTCGTAAAGTTGAATTTGTGAAGGTACAGCTAAACGGTAGTAAATTAGGCCTAGACAGACTCCTGGCTCAGCATTGCTCACTGACCGCCTTCACTTTCCAAACTAGCTACGTGGACTTCAATTCTCTACCGGGTTCATCATAGTTACAGTTCAATGCCTTGAAATCTCAGTTTAAACTATAATACGATTCAAGCTTGCTGCAACCTTAATAATGTGTTAAATTGGGTATAATATGAAAAAAACACAACTACTTCGATTTAGTAGGAACAACATATGACGCAATGCTAAACGAATGGAATTTAGTTGTTGTTTATTTAGTTATTGTTATTAGTAGTTGTTGTTATTTGTTTTAGTTGTTGTTGTTTATTTAGTTGTATTTAGTTTCAATAACTTTTCTTTATAATGCAATAAAATCTGGCGAGCAGCTATTTAAACGATCGAACACTTCGTTTGTTTATTTGTGGCTTGAAGTTAGGCTCGCAGAAAATGCCGTTCATGGGTTAAATTTAGTAGGAACAACACAACTTGTGACGTAGGCTATATTATACCCAATTGAAGCACGTTAGACCATGGTATAGTTTAATCAAGTTTAATGATTGCATCTTAGCTAGCATACTATAATTTTCAAATTCTGAACAAACTTTGATAATCCTTATACTTTTAATTTCCTTTAGGTCTGGAGTTTTTAGATCGTTTGACTAAAAGAAGAAATGTAACAGTGAAAATAAGACGTAAGAAATTCGATGACAACTGAAGAAAAAGCACCACAAAAAGATGGATACATTGGTGTTTCCAAGGATGACAAATCAACAATTATTATTTTACTTATCTTGTACACTTTACAAGGTATTCCCATTGGACTTGCTATGAGCATCGCCCTGTTATTACAAAAGAAAAATGTGACCTATAAAGAACAAGCCATGTTTAGTATAGTTGGGTGGCCTTACAGTTTAAAGCTGTTGTGGGCTCCAATAGTCGATTCCTTGTATTGGAAATACATGGGCAGACGGAAAAGTTGGTTGATATCTACCCAATATGTGATTGGAATCCTCATGTTGATTCTTTCATTTCATGTATCAGATATTTTTGGTGATGCAAACGATTATCCAAATGTGTTCTATCTTACAATTGCATTCTTTATTTTGAATTTTTTATGTGCTACTCAAGATGTTGCTGTCGATGGATGGGCCCTAACTATGCTTTCTAGGTTTGTAAGAGTATATAATTTTTTATTTTTTAAAAAAAGCAGATTTATAAAATCAGCCTTGTTCAGTAAAAAAGAAGAAAAAAAATCTCACTGAATAACTTTTGTCCTAATGTCTTAAATTTTTTGACCTCTTTCCTGGCTAAGCAATTGGAACTAAATATTCCAGACTGCGTCTACCCCAATATTTTGAGGATTAAGAAACCAAATCTGTAGAAACCGTAAATAGATGTCATGTACAAGTCTGATAGCACAGAAAGGAATGAGCTGCTTGAGGCAGCTAATCAGCTGTAGTGCTGGCAGAATAAGATGAAGAAGGAGACCAATATATTTGAGGTCAACTTTATATTTGACTCTAACCTTTTATCTTTTAGCGTAATCTTTGCCCCAACCTTTGTCTGGCATATCTGAGATCGTATGTGAAAATTCGATCATTAGAACAAAAATTATTCTGGTTGATAGCTTTTTTTACTGCTAACTTTGATTATACATTATTTTATGCTATAACTTTAACTGCTAACTTTGATTATACATTATTTTATGCTATAACTTTAACTGCTAAACTGACTGCTAACTTTGATTATACATTATTTTATACTATAACTTTAACTGCTAAATTGACTGCTAACTTTCTATACTAATTTTGAAAGATCTGTCTAATGAAAGCCGAAGTAAGATTATAATCAGCTTGCATAGACTGGATAGTGATAATCAGATCCTTCAGACCATGATTAAAAGTTTTTTTTTTCTTTCTTTTTTATAAATTTTGCCATTTGCGTAGGCTGATTGGGAAAGATTGTATCAAAGGTATACAATTTTAAAGCTTGACTTTTTTTTAAAACTGACAGTTACTGTAATATTATTTATTTAGTTAAAGAAAAATGTATAAATATAGTTTTTCTACCTAAGATAAAAGCAAGCAATAACTAAAGAGCAACGTTTACAAACTGTTGCTGTGCAAAAATGTGTCCTTAAAAATTATTATATAGCTTAGTCTGAACTAGATCGGCGAATTAACTAATAAATATAAATAATTAAGAAGTAATAACAGTTTAAGCTTTAAAATTAGAAAACGATTCCTAAAATGAAACATTTGTTATTTAGGATCGTTTTATGAAAGAAAAATATAGATATAAAATTCTCGAATTAAAAACAAGGCAATAGTTTGTATTTTAATGTGCATATGGTTTTTGTATAGTAAAAGAGAGCATTACAAACATATTAAATTCGGCGCTCAAAATATTTAATCTTATGGTAATATGGTAATTCTTGTAGTAATCAACTAAACTATATTACTTAAGAACGTTCCACTCTGATGTCAACACGATACATTTCTAAAAACTTTTCTTGGCCATACGGGCTCCTGCGTACTGTAGCAACACTCAAAGGCTAATGTTAGTTAGTTGTTGCAGTAAATTTATACAGTTCTTATACTTTAGAGTCTGTGTCATACTTTTGTTTACTTCTGAATGATTATATCACAGAGAAATATATAAAAAGTTTCCATCCTAATGTTAGAGCACATAAAAAAGCAATGCGTTTTTTTTTCTTTTTCAATGCGCTGTGAAATGGCTACTCTGGTACAAACGGCTTTAGAACCACGCTCAAGTGTTAGTTATATTGATCAGTGCATCGTTTTCTTTTATTATTTTCAATTGATTTATAAGTTCTTTATAATCGTTCGGTTATGAGTTTTATTTTAATTTTATGAAATGCTTAAATGTAAATTTGTTAAGGTTGTCGCGTGTTATTGAAGACAAAAATTCATTTTGTAAAGTTCATTGGTATGTTTTAATTTCTCAGCATTCTGCTTATTCTTAAATTCATTTCAACGTTAATAAACTACATATTTATATGGATGACATGGACCATTACTCATTTTAAACTAAAGAATGAATTCCGAAAAACGTTATCAATGCAGATTTTTTTTTCTTTTTATAAACGAATTTATTTTATGAGAGAATGAATTAAACAAGAGTAAATAAAAATATGACAGAAATTCTTTTTTACATTCATTAGAACTAAAATCTAAAATAAAATGTTCGAAATTGTTTAGAGAATTTTATGTTGCCACATAAATGCGCAGTATGAAATAATTTTGAAACAGAACAGCTAGTATGAATTTACGCAATAAAATATTTATTCTATAATTTTAATTTGAATTAAGCAAAAAAAAATCAACTTCAGAACTAATCACACGTAGAGAAGTATTTTGTTTCTCATGTAACAAATGCAATCATCATTCTTAACATAGTCCTACGAATAAAAATTTCATGAGTAGTATATGTCATTCAAGCTAAGTGAAACAAGAATTTTATTCATATATTTGCATAGAATGGCTTATTATAGTCAACGAAGAATTAATAAATATTCGAAGATTTTTTCTTGGTAGATGTACGAACTCTTTACCATAAAATTCGCTAGAACAATTGGAAGGAATATTGTTTCGAATGGCGTCATTATTTATTTCCGTTTAGTAGATATATTTGTGATTAAATCCGAAGTTCAGAAAGATAGAAAATGATTTTTTTTTTTGGGGGGGGGGGGAGTTAGGAGGAAGCTCTTTTAACTTGTTCTAAATCATTATGAAATCTAGGAAGCAAGAACGTATTAAATCATTTAAGTTAAAATCGCTTTAAAAAGTTCTATTACCAAAAAATATTGAGTATAACGACTTTGCAGATTTATATGTATATAATACGCTAACAATTGTCTAACTCAATTTCAAATGTGAAACTATTTTTAAAATCTTAATTTTATTATTTTTTTTTCTTCTTCTTTTTTCTTGTAAACATGTCTTACTATAGGCAAAATGTGGGGTATGCAACCGTATGTAATTCTGCTGGATTAAGGATTGGATTCTTTTTTGGAAATATTGTGTACTTAATTCTTGAATCTCCGGAATTTTGTAACCAATATTTGAGGTCTGTTTCTCGCCCAGAAGGTCTAATTACTCTTTCAGGTAATATATATTTCGACATATTTTGAATATACAAATTATATTTTTATTTTTCAAACTCGTTTGTCAATTATTAGAAATACAGTAAATCTCGTTTAGTAGTTATGTTTTCGTGACCATTTTTTCTAATTTTAAGAATAATTAACTAACCTTTTTTATAAATATCGTTTGTAACTTTTTTCTATTTAAAATTTTTCAGATTACCAATTTACTTTTCAGAGCATGGGGAAATATCAGGGGGAAAAAATATCCATCAGTTTTTAGAAATAAAACTCACTGTGACAAAAACTTCTGTATTCTTAGACAAACTTTAGACAGTTTTGAACTATGCTTAATTTTTTTAAAAGGGGACATTTCAGTTTTTAATATATCGTTTCTTACGACACTTGGACGAACCAAGCACGCCAGTCATTGGCCTTTGCCAATTAAGTCAGGAAGGTGTGCCTTTCATTCGGCAAGAAAGCACCGCAAGGGTGAAAGTACGTCTTAGCTCAGAACCTCCCGGATAGATGGCAGCACCACTTGTTCGCGAGAGCACTTCTGCAATCCTGTAATCATGGTTCTGCTCAGCAACTGACCACAGGACATTCGATTCCACAGATTTTACTAGTACGTATATCGCATGTACTCTGTGGGTCTTAGCGGATTCCAGAATCGAATCCTGATCCCTCTGGACCGGAGAACGATTATCTAACCACTGGGCTATCGCAGCCCTGCTTTCGAAATTAAAAAAAAATTAATTAGATTTTGTACTGTTAATATTTAATTCAATGCAAGTATGATATTACAGAGTGTTTATAAAGTTCCAGACCCATTTTGATGTTTAATAACTCATAAAATAATAAAGATAGATAAAAATTAATAACATAAATGGTCAGATAGACTTAAAAAGTTTCATGAGCCTTGTCAATGAACTTCCACGTGTGCCCCCTTCGTCGCACGGAGAATATCAAGTCGATAGTCAATTTCACGCCAGGTAGCTGCAAGCATGTCGCCATCCACAGAGGCTATTGCGGTTGTAATTCTGGCTTTTAGGTCATTAATGTTCGACACGATCCTCCTGTAAGCATTGTCCTTTATAAATCCCCAAAGAAAAAAGTCCAGCGGCGTTATATCAGGTGATCTGGGTGGCCAAGGAATTGGACCTCCTCGCCCAATTCATCTTCCTGGAAAATGGTCATTCAAAGAACTACGAACGATGATACCCCAATATGGTGGTGCACCATCTTGTTGCAAAAAGACGTGTGGCTGAAGCTCTTCTAGTTGTGGAAATACGAAGTTTCACTATGAACCACCATAAAATCTGTGCTTTCTCTTGTGGTGTATGCATTCCCCTTAATATCCGCTCGAATAAAACATCACATAGAAAAGTACTACATAGAACAAACACATCAAAAGTAAACATAACATTGCAATAGTTGCCGAAACAAAAGAGAGAAAAATGCAATTAATAAGCAGACGATATTTCGAAAAGTACAGATATTTAGACTGGACAACGAAATTCGCGATCGCAACGCTCGAGTACGCCGTCTAGCGGGAGCCTGTAAATATCAGATATTAATTTATCACGTTTTCATTTAGTTCCATCAAAGTCATTGACTGAATCAGACGCCATTTTTTAGCAGCAAATAGGAAACAAAATTTCCCTAAGGAAAAGGCCGAAGAACTTGAAAAAAATCTCCAGAATATTAGTAAATCTTTCAGGAACAGAACACGCCAAACATTTGAAGAAAAATTCCTCAATAATTTTTAATTTCTATTATCAACAAACTTGCAACTGATGACTTCCGATTTCGGATACTGTTACAGATGTGTGTATTAAGGTAAAATGCATTTCTTCTGTCTTCAATTCATTACGAATTAAAGTGAAGTCAACATTG